TGTGCAGTTTGAAGATAACTGCTGCACATTCTTTCATGCCACCCTTCTCTGTAATCAAGGAAACTATGAAGGTTCCAATAAAATCCAAGGACAACCTTCCTAAGGAACATGCTTTAAATTATCTTACCCATGAAGTTAGCCAAGTTTGAGCATAGAGCTCTTTAACTGACTTTTATTATTACTTCAGTAGCATTTTGATATTGTAACCTCATTCTTTAGTCATATTAAGTTGATCATTTACTTACTTTACATGTGATATTCTTGATAAAATATCTTTCCTTATTTTCCATCTTTTCTAATTGAGAAAATTTGATCAAAGGGATTCAAAGTTTGACTTCTCTATCACTTCCTTATTCCCTCCAAAATAATTTTTGTAACCCTGAAAAGCTGTGGTCATACATACACTGATGCCTTGGTCTGCTGTTATACTGTCTCACCCATAGTATGTATAATATTCCCATGTCATAATTTCAATTCCAGTTCTTTACTTCCTTCTGGACTTTAAAGTTCTGGTCATCAGTGCTGACAGCAACAGATGCAAGGGGCTGGCTTTCTGCCTACTGCAGATAATGACTGGCAGTTGGAACAGGTCAAGTTTCCACAGATGGCAATAGTTTCAGAGTTCTTCAGAAAGTTAGTATTCTGGTTATAACTTCCCTCTTCTATTTAATACCAACATGAGTGCTAAGAAGTTACTCCAGAGTTGGCAAGAAGAGTTTCTTTGTGGGCTCTGTGCAAGACAGATTCCCTAAATTTCAATCCCTGGATTCCACAGAAAGCTGAAGGAGATAATCCACTTCACAAAAGTTATGCACACTTCAAACAAAAGTTATAACACACTTCACAACATAATACACAAACACACAGACACACACATACCACATGTACACTCACACAATAACAAATTATAAAATCATTACTCAAAAACTAATCTAAATATCATCTTGTCTGCCACAATTTTTCCCTTAGGAAATATTTCTGAAAGTAACTACAAAAGAAAGAAAGAAAGAAAGAAAGAAAGAAAGAAAGAAAGAAAGAAAGAAAGGAGAAAGGAAAGGAGGAAAGAAAGAAACGAAGAAAAGTAAATGATTCTATATTTCTTGTCAATGTTACTTTATTTTTCTGGATTTTTGATGTCTGATTTCAAACTCAGTTTTGAGCATGGGAAACATTACCTTTTTGAGTCTCCATTTTATCATCAATATGTGAGGCATCAGTCACCTGGATTGCTTATTAAATCTCGTCTGGAATTGGTGTTCCTGTTTTTAAGAGAGTTAACAGACCTATTTCCTATTTATGTGTCAGAATACCATTTTACAGGAAAATAGGTTTTTCCATAATAAACACCTGGTAGGTTACAGGGTGACAAATAATAGGTATAGCTAAACAAAGTTGTCTTATTACATTTTGCTAAAGCATAATTTAGGATGATTAGATTATCACAAATCAAAGTTCGTCTATTAAGTAAAATCTATTACAAGTGAGGACAGGAAAATCTTAAGATGCTTGTTAAAAGCACAGATGAGATTTGACAAGAAAAGAAATATATTTAATAGGAGGTGGTGTAATTTTCCTCTCTGCAAGTGATTCCAAGTCAACTCATCCCCATTATTTAGTTAGGGGAGTGATTTATGTTCTGTGACTGACCGTACCAGTGATGGCTTTATGATACCTGTTAAAGAACATCTGACCTCTCATCACCTCTGCCTGTGGCTCATTCTAGCAGGACTGAACTCTCAGGTGACATAGTTAACAAGCATGCCCAGTGGTGGTCTGAGTGTGGGGTGTTAATTCAATTGTCATCATATATAAAAAGCACTTTGCTTGCCTCCTTGTTTCATAGCATATTTACTGAAATGAGGTTGACAAAAAAATTGTGTTGTAAAGAGAATACATTATTTCCCAAGCAGCCATAAAATATAAATTACATGCCCTTTCTATCCACTGTCCTCCATACATATCTATACCTTGTCCTTGACCCACAGACAAATTGTAACAGATGCCACAGTGTGCAGGGGGAGAAAAATCAAACCCAATTTTGCTATACAATGAAGTGAGTTTTGGTTTTGTCATGTCCACTGATGTATTGATCACTCAAAGTTCAAAGGGATCATGTTACATTGGGCTTTAATATAGATGCATAAGTTCCTTTTGTTTTACAACGATGCAAGGGCAGCTTAGGAGGCTCTCATGTTACAATAGCGCAACACCGTAAACATCAGTATTTGAGAAGTTACATGCTCTTTGTTTGTAGAATGGTAGTTCCACAAGACAAATGGGCTCCTGTTCCAAACTCATTTAAAGTACTGCTGATTCTTCCAGAGCTAAGAAGAACTTTAGGAGGGAAACCCACACACAAGTGCTAAAAACCACACACACACACACACACACACACACACACACACTTATACTGTATGTCAAATTTATAATGTGATAAGCCAAACACTACATCAAACATTTTCTATTTAACCTGAGAGGGGACTAAGCCAAATCACTAATATCTTCAACTCTGTGATTTTCAAGGTACAGTGACTGCTCTGTGGAATTTTAAAGCCAGTGAGGTTGTTCACCCCCATGATATGAATCTCTGGTACAGAATAATTTTTATCAAAAGATAAAGATGAAATTTCAGAAAAACACCATAAAGACCCTGGAGTCTACTAAGCTAAATCTTTAACTCAGCGGGTGAGAGGGGGAGAAATGAAGGAATGAGTCTATGCTTGCAGGTAGGCAGAATCCCAGTCATTATGACAACAGAATGCCTCTCTAATTACCACCTACCCCAGCAATGCTGCACAACGCTGTGTGATCCCTGGGAGATTGTTACTCCATGAAATGTATGGCCCTATTCCACATATATGAAGCTGTTGCAAGCATATCTGCATATCTCAGCGGGAGGCAAATTGAGGCTGGGACCCTTAGCACTGCTCATGAAAAGCCACATGCAGGCATCCTATTGAGGGGAAGAGTGCCTTCACTGATGCTAATCACAAAATTCTCCAAGCAGAGGAACTTCTCATTTAGCATAAGCTTTAAAAATTAGAGCAATGCCTCCCATTACCATATTCTAAAGTAATTATGTGCAGTAAGTAAAGACAAATTCATTACTAATTACACAGTCTTTTATTGTGAAACCCAGAGCAAAATTATTTGAGGTATTTTCTTTTCTAATCTGACAACAGGATGACTTTACTTCATCAATCAGTTTGACTACAGTAATGATTTTCTTGGAATTAAAATTTGTTGAAAGCACTAAGCGTTTCATCTTTTGGGCTAAGAAGCATGTAGTTAATGTCACCACTAATACATTTGTCAGTCTGCTAATTTTCTTTTTCTATTAGAATAAGTAAACAGCAGCCCTTTTAAAAAGCATACTATCTACCATGTGTCAGGAGCAACGTAGGGAGACTTATTTGAAAACCATGAGGTAAGACATTATGAGATGCACAGGAATCAGTGGCAGACAATGAAGGGGAAACATAAAAGGGAAAGGCATTTAATAATTCCAAAGTGATGGTAGAGTAAATCTCACAAAGCATAAAGGGAGGATAGCATTTAGAGGTGAATTATGAAAAAAAAAATCAAATCCAAAGAAGAACTCAAGACAGAAGGAACAGAAAACATGAAAAAAAAAGAGACAGATCCTGACAGAGTTAAAACAAAATGGGAGCAATAGTCAAACAATAGACGGCTCCTAGAGGACAATGGAGATAGAAGCAATGAGGCTTCGCTTGTATGGCATTCCACCAGTCAGTACCTCATCAGATGTGCTCATTATTTAATGGGATATGGCCAGGGACGGTACAAGCAACTGATTCTATTATTAAGGACATAGTTCAATCACTTAGGCTCATTGCATTTAAGTTAGCCTTGGTAGTATTTTAATTAGAACAAAACAATGCCTGGTAGGAAATGTCAGCTCTCTGCTCTACTACCTGTCCCACAAAAACCTAACGTTTCTTTTCATAATTTTGATATCCCAGAGCTCCAGATTGCCGGTTGATTTCCACACCCCATGACCTGGATCAAATGCCACTTCTACATGGAGTTTTTTTTTCTTTCATTTATAATAGCATTCAAAAATTATTTGGGTTTTTTTTGCTGTAAAAAATGAAACTATCACTTAGGAAAAAACCTTTTCTTCTGTTATCGTTTAGATTTGAATGGTGATGCTCTTTGGAGATGGTAGACCTCTAAGAGGTGGTGTCTACTGGGACGTCTTTGAGTTATTGGGGGCATATACTCAGGGTATACACTCAAAGGGAACTAGAAGATCCTACTCCCTTTCTCCTCCCCCTCTTTAGCTTTCTAGCAATAAGATGAGTGTTTTGCCCTGCCACATGTCCCTATCATGATATGTTGCCTTACCACAGGCTCAATAAATCATGAACTGGAACCTTTGAAACAAGGACCCAAAACAAAGATTTTCTGTTATGTTTAGTCTTGGAAAGATAGCATTCATGACTGACCCAAGCCAAGAGAATAATAAAAAGTCCTATAGCAGTTAAGTTTTTATGATATTATATAATTGGTTGTATTTGGTATATGATACTAAACTAGTTTGTTTTCCTTATTAAAATGTGGATGAAGATGACATATAGGGATGTAGTAATAAATGTGTAGATATTTAGGATTTTACTTTTATCTTTCTTAATTTTGGAATATTTGATAGAATGCTTTTATATCTGTTTTTGTAATTAAATAAGTTGGACATGAACTGAGAGGCACAGATGAATTCCTCATATTTTAGAACCTATGTTTTCAAATGCTAAAAGGAGTTGGTGAAGATACCTTACCCACCTAATCTGTGGAATGAAATAAGTTGTTTAAACTGTCAGTTCCCTGGTTACTTTCCAATCATCAGTAGTAAACATGAGCACAAAGGCAGGAAATCCACACTGAAACCATACATGATATGAAGGCCTTCAACAGCTCCTTTCTGCACTAAGGTAGAGCTACCATTGATGATAACAGTACCTTGATAAGTACTGGCTACTTACCCGGCTGAGACAAAAGTGGTGTATAAGGGACTTTTGGTTCTATTGCACTCATTGGTGGAGGTAGCAAAGGGTTGGCAAAGCTGCGGAGTGGATGAGTTGGTCGGACACAGGCTGTGGGGATAGTTCTGCTGGGTGCTTCCTCGCTGGTGGGATGTTCAGGCTGAGCTGGCGGCAGCATGGGCTGTTGTTGTGTGGTTGGTCCTTCACTCACAGCTATAGTGGAGATAAATCCGGAAGTCATTCAAGATAAAGCTTATCTCCCCCACATTTCCAGTACTAGTCCAGGAAGAAAAGATGGCATCCACTAATCTCTTCTCCATATTATGGACAGCCTTATTCTTCAGCTCTCTTGTATGTACAGAAAACAATCAACTCATCACTTTTAAATGGCAGAAACAGGTACAGTAGGTCTAGGTATGTCTTTCAGGGACAGTAGTACAATTTATTCACACTATATTGCATGAACTGTCTGGACCCTGTAATCATAAGTGATGAAGCAAAAAATAAAAGAGTTATTTCTCCTCTTCTACGTAGTAATGCGGAATGTCAGTGAAATTCAACATCCCAAACCCGGTTATAGCTGCATTATTACCTACCAGCCAATATGCCAATTTTCCTGTGATTTAAACATGCCATGTCAACTGTCAAACAAATGAGAGTTACAGGGTGCTCAGAGGCATTGCGAAAAATGATACAAATAATAGCCACTATCATTATCTCCCATAACAAAATAGAAGCACACTGAGCTAAAAGTTGCATGAGACACGACTCCACTGGAGCAAGTTGCCTGAATACAGAATTATGATTTTTTCCTCTTTGGTAGCAAACCTTGTAATTTTCAGGCAGATTACTATAGTTGAAGAGGCTTCACATAGTCATTTGTGACAGCCTTGGGATATGTGGACAGCTTTGTATATTTGATTGAACTTTTCCCCCTGGGGAACACAGTTGAGTGAGACTAAAATGTTTTCAAAGCTTGTTCTGTTACTAAAGACAGGGTGACTCAGTTTTAATGTTCATTCACATTCAAAGCCAAAAGGTCTAAGTTAAACCACAGATGAATAGGGATGCCTAGCAGGTGTAAGTGTTTTGTACTCTACACAAGCATTTCTAGTTATTTAATTCTTAGGAAAATTGCTTTGGGTTAAATGGGAAAATAAGATATTGATATGACACTGCCATACTTTGGAAGGATAATTTTAAACATGGAATCATTTCAAGATAGTAAGTTTAGGAGATAGTTTGAGATGACTCTGGGAAGCTCACTATGGTCTGCAAAAGGTAGAGGAATCAGAAAATAGATCTGGTGATGCTGAAGGAGAAGACATGAAAGATAAAAAGACAAAAGTATCTTATGACAGATATGCACACATGATGCATCGTGCAGAAATGTTTCTATTCATCCTGTTTGGTTCAGATTGGGTCACAGGTCCCCTGGATGAGAGCAGCCTATCCTTCAGAGGTGTAGGTAGAGGATGCACAGTCAGCTGAGGAAATGATAGCAGCTAGAGCTCAAAATCAGATTTTGTCAGTCTTCTAACAGAGAACCCTAAGACAGCCAAGTGCCGAACCTCATGTATGTCTCACAGGAAACTAAACTGCTTACATGATCACAAGGGGAATGGACTCTCTTTGTATTTGTGTTTTGTCAGATTCTGTCTTGGGGTGGTTGAACGTTAAGCTTTACAGAAGGAGAAAATATTAGGTTTTAACTTTAGACTTCCATTTAATCTGAAGAAGATGGTGACCAAAGGTTGATTTTCAAAATATGGGTTTAATAATTTATTTCCACACTTGAGTATTTTTGCTCCTTAGCCTTATGGTGATGGCAGAATTGTTCCCTTACTCCTTCCTGGTCCTTTGGAGAAGGTTAGGAATCCTTGTTTGTACATCCTTCACACCTGAGGTCCCAAAGGAATTTATTTAACTGTAGAATTACAGGAAATGACTAGAACACTACAGGCTCTTTCAAAATTAGGATAAATGGATAAGGTTATTTAACCCAAGCAATTTACAACTTCAGAGACATGGGGATTCTTGGGAATATTGCCTTTATATTGACTGAGACCCTGTGGTCCTATAGGATAAATGGATAAGGTTATTTAACCCAAGCAATTTACAACTTCAGAGACATGGGGATTCTTGGGAATATTGCCTTTATATTGACTGAGACCCTGTGGTCCTATGTAAACCGCCAGTCTCAAAATGAGGTTCCTGAAGTTGGTTCTCTCTGATCCCTTCTCATTTACACCATCTGGTTCTTAGTAATGGGGCCATACCATAATACTAACTAATGAGTGCAGGAAAAGAAATTTCAAATCCTTTTCTTGGGAATTTACTTCAGGTAACTCTCTCTACAGAAGATGTTCTATAACTAAGCCCTACCTGATCCCTAGAGCTCCCATAGCATTGAAGAAACCACAGAATATCTTTAATACCTATTTCCCCTTTATCTCTTTTTCATTCACTTCTTTTCTTTCTCTTGTATTTTGGACATGAACAGTTTGTGACAAAATATTATTATAGACTTGAGCTTAATAAAATTTACACCCATTTTTTTAATGTCTTGGAATTCAGTTTCTCACTATGGAAAAACCTTTGTGTAACATTGAACATATAAATTATAATTTTACTAGAAAGTTTGAGTATTGGCTAACTGAGGTGCCTGCTAACATATCAAAGTGTTTGCTGTCTTCCAGGTTCACCCACTACCTGTGGGTCCCCACCTCCCTACTTCAACTCAGCTATTCTCTAAATTACTCTAGCTCATGGGTTTTCCTTCCTGCAGACTCTCATTCCTATATAACCCTGCCATTTCAGCCATGCACTCCCTTGTCTTTTCTCTTGGTTTTCCTCCCTCACTCTCTCCTCATCTCTACTCTCATGGCTCTGTCCATTCTCCTGGCCATGTATCAGTCTTCTGCTTTCTCTCTCTGCCCTGGACTCTTCTACGTGCTGCTGGCTGTACTCTCCCTCCTAACCACAATAAAATACTACCCTTCAACTATACTTGGAGCACTCATGTCCCCACTTCACTCATTGAGGACACTCCTAGCCACATTCTTCTCATGCCATTTCTTTTCATTCCCTTCAGTGAGAACTTAAAATCTCTTTATTCCAAGTCGGATATCTCTAGCCTTCCAGCTTCCCAGAAAGATTCCCACTGGGATCACCATGAAGGTCCTAATTAATCTGACGATATCCTTTGTCTAATACATCCTTAATAACACATAAGACCACAATGTGAAACCCAAGGCATGAGTGAGATGCTTCATGTTTGGAAATTAATAGAATGTGATCCATAAGAGACAAGTTTTGTTTTGTTTAAAACCAATATGGTAGAAGAAGGTTTTCATAGGTAATTCATAATGCTTGCATTTTAAGAAAATGCTTTCATGGTTGACTGGCATGTAAAGCAGGGAAAATCCTCAAATAAACAACATAGTAATAGCTCCAAATGAGAAATGCCACATCTCAGATGTGCCTGTTTGGCCAGTTCAGACACCAGCCCCAGGACATCTATATAAAACAAATTGGCTCAGTGACACCGCATTTATATGCACTAAGAACTCTGAAAGCAAAGACAAGCCCCCTTCACCCACAGAATGCAGAATTCAGAGGTAAATGGATGTCGGCAAGGCACTCATTTTCAAATGATGAAATAGTCAGAATTCATTGTACAAATAGCATACAATTACACAGTGGATTCAAATCCCAAGGTACTTTATAATAATTAATGTCAACATACAAAATACTTGCTACAGAATAAATGGCAGAAATACTGCAAAAATGGAAATGAGGAATTTTCTTATATCTGCAAACTGCGATGCTTGATAGATATACAGCCCACCAACAGCATGAAGCAGATCCTGAGACATGAACACCCATTCTAGGAAGCTCTTTGACTCATTAATCTTAGAAGAACAACATTATGAACTATTCCTCAGTAAACTGGTTCCTCATAGCTTGTTTTAAGGGCAGACACCCCTAGAATAATAAAGGAACTCTTCCACTGTGCTTCTGATTTTATCTGGGACAAATTCCATTTGGCAGTCAATTTCCAGTTTGTTGGAGAAATGGATCAGAAAAACAGTGTGGGTAAATCTGAGAAGCACTGTGGCAGTGACAGAATGGGAAATTCTTAAACTCCTCTTCCACGACTTGTTTAAAGGATGAGAAAAATGAGCTATTTCTTTGTTATGGTTAGCAGAAATAAAGTTCCAAGACTACCTACCAGTTTGGGACATTTTCAAATTTTGGGAGTACTGATCTCCTGGAGCAGCAACTTACTTATGGGTTATGCTAAGAGTCCAGCTGTAGTTATACAGGCAAGGTTATTTGTCCATCATTCAGGAAATGTATTGAATGCAAGTGTTTTTAGTGTGGCTCCCCTTTCCTTACAATTGCTGAGAATTCCAGCTTTGTTTATGACTTAGGGCTTGGGGAAGTATTTCCTAGCTTAAGGATTTCCAAGTTTTTAAGATAACTGTGGAGAAGTGGCGTCTTCTTCCTGGACCATATCATCTTTATCTCCTTCGTTATGCCTTTCTCTGCTCCTAAAGGACACTAATAAGGCATCTCTAACCAGAGCCATGGAGTGTTTGCTTCTTGAAAGAGAACAGGGTGTTTAGTGCTCTCCAAGGCATGTGGAAACAAATACAAAAGAGCTGGATGTGAACTATCATTGATAATTATTTAGGGAATATTCTGTTTCCTAGAAAAGTGAACATTTATCCTTCCTTTTCTCTTCCAGGCACTTGCTTGAAGAGCATTAGATGTTATCTCTTTTGTATCACTTGTATTTTGTTGAAAACTACTTGAATGAAAGAACATATACATTGTAAAGCAATCTATAAATCATGGCCAGGGATAGAATTTTCATTGTCTTGTAATAACTTGGATGAAACTCAAAAATTACACAGTATTTTGCAGAGAAAGTATTGTTTACATAAGGATGCACAATTGTTCCTTTAAATATTTTTACCTTTATTTGCTAAATCATGCTGCTCAAAGACTACTGAAACAAAAATCTACTAAAGAGTTTAAATGTTTTGATTGAATATCTAACATTTAACGTACTTCATTATTTGAAGTTTACAGAAAAATTAATGGAAGGTACAGAAAAATTTCCATATAGCACCTGTATTCATATTTCCTATTAGGAAATTGGAGCTTGGAAGAGTAAGCTCCTTTTAATCACAGATCAAAACAAACCAAACCCAACCAAACAAACAAAAATAGAAATATTATTTCTTAATAGCAGCATATTTCTTTTCTATTGATACTGAACTTTTGAGTAAATTTTAATTTTCCCCAGGATCCAATTAGAGACAATTCCACTTTGAATGCTGACCCAAGAGGAGAAAAACAAACAAACAAACAAACAAAAAACAAAAGAGGAGTGGGGCAGAGGAGATGAATACATTTCTAGAATATGCTTTCAAAAATTGGAAAGGAAGAAGGCAACAGTTACTAAAAAGAAATAATTTCTAATAAGAAAAGCACTGAGCCATGAGGTGTCAGCCATGCCAGAAGGGCTAGAGCAAAGTTATCCCACAGATTCCTCTTCAGTGTCCCTTTAAAGCTCCAAGATCAGAGAGAAGGAAAGGAGGGTGGCAGAATATCATCGAATGAAGGGACTTGTCGGAGTATTTTGACTAGACTCCCATTTGTAGTTGTTTTGGAATGCAGAATTTTCTAGGTGCTGGACTTCCCACATGCTTCTCATTTCCCTCCTTTTATAGTGGTTTTGGAGTCACCCCCTCACCCCGAGTTTTAGCACACAGCTCTATTTTGTAGATTCGATGCGCAGTGAGAAAAGGGAAATGAATCTAATTCTCGCCTGGCAGATTTTTGATGCCTTTTAATTCTAACCTTGCTACATTTGGACAATTTATGACTTCTTGGAGCTGCCCCTGTTGAGTTGAGAAAAATATAGCTTACCTCACGAATATGTTTTATTGCTGTGCTATCATATCTATTACAAAACCTCCTCTTGCACATGAGCTGCTGAGTCACCTGTTCTTAACAAAGAGATGAAAGCGAGAAAATCGACCTAAAGATGCTGTGCTCAAAGTAGTGGGCGGGGTAAATCCAATGGCACAGGAGAAATCACCAGGGTGTATATGGAAGCTTAAGTCTCCTTCATTCTTGTTCTCTTCCTAAGAAACGATGTTTTATTTTAGCAACCATCAACCGTCGATAGTTAGAAGTTGAAAAAGTACTACCTAAGCAATTAAAGAATGCCAAGGATTCAGCAAATATTTGTATACTGGGACGTAGTAGAGATATTTCAGTTTAACCAATATATACTAGTATAAACATGACAGGTATTGGAAGACACCACTTGATTTATAACTTCCTGGCTAGCAGGGTATTGTTTTAAAATATGTACTGCACCATTGTGTAGTGGAGCCATGTGTACTTTATTGCCCACCAGACACATTTTTCCTTCCTGTGGAGTTTGCTGTGGAACGATGTTGCTAGGGCCAAATAGATCAGTGTGATGAGAAGGAAAATTCTTGTACTAGGGTCACTCACAACCAGTCTTTCCAAAGAATAAGAATATCAAAATGATACACAGAGGAGATATTGCTATTGTTAATGTTTTTTAAACAATAAAGCAGAAAAAATGCATTACACTGACTTCTTCCTGTGCCAAAACCTCGATCCACAGACAGCGTTGGGAATGGTACTGGCCGGAGAGTGAACTGCGGGTGGGGGTATCCACAGGTGGGAGATGGAAGGATTCCAGGATACTGGGCACTTTCTAGTGTTGGCACAGGGATGGCACTGACGACAGCTGCAAAAGAAAAACATTAGTTATTTAAAAGTTCCTGTGTATACATCTAACCCGTATCGAAGGAAATGGACACATTTTTAAAATGTCAAGCCATCAAGCCATGGTACAGTCTCCATGGCATCACCAACAGTCCCTTAATTCTTCCTATAAACTTCTTTCTTGCATAGAAAATAATTTTATTTTTAAAACACTCTATTATGGTGCATTTTTCTTCCAGTTTGAAATTATTTATGGCTCTGAGAAAATAGATGTTACAACAGAGGTGCCTCAATACTCCAGTCTTTGTATTTCAGTTTATTTTTTGTTGTTTGTTTTAGTCTTTCTTCCAAGGAGAAACATGGAACAAGATGTATTAGGATGTGACAAAGGGAATATATTGTGTATAGTGACTTTAGGAGGTGTTGGGAATCATAATTTAGTCCTGTAAATGAATGTATTGTTGTCAAGAGGCAAACTGGTAAGATAAACACAACACACTCTCAGTATCCACAACTAGGGTTTATCTTTAAATAAAATCCTCTCAAAGATATCCAGATAAGTGCACACTCTTTAATGGTAACTGAATGCTACCTGTGCATGCCAACAGTGTGATTACACTGGCTAAAAACCATAGAAAAATGCTTGTGCAATGTTTTTGATGTTTAGACAGCTCTGATCAATTTCATTATTCAAAGGTTGTTGATCTATATTATTTTATGAGATGTTTATTACAATTTTAGTCAACCTTAATTTATATCATTTGATAATCACCTTATAAAATGATGAATATTCTTTGTCTCCTGTTAGAAAAACATGGACTATAAGCCAACTAACAGGATGGTTACTTTCGGTTGTATATTCTACTCTATGATATCAAAGTTGCCTTCTGTTTATAAATCATTACTCATATTCTAATGCCATCTCTGTGTATAGTGTGCATATGTTTTCATATTTCCCAAAGGAAATTTAAAAAATCATATTCTTCATTTTATTAATAATATCATTATTGTAGAAACAATTATAAGAAACTACTGTATCACTCACTAAACAGAAAACATTTTCAGGTTTATTTATAAATGCTTTATTATTCTCAGTACAATTTCATACTTATTTGTCATCTAGAACAACAACATGAAAAAATGACAAAAACTTTTAACAAAGTGCAAAATTAAACCCAGGTGGAAGTCCAAATGATTACACATACATTAAAAAATAGAAATTATAATTTTACTACCTTTGTGTCTCTCAAAGCATAGTAACAACACAAGCCTAATTTTTCTGTTGAGTAATAAGAAGAATTTGCTAGAGTATTTGTATTTTTGATATTTGAACTCATTGGAGAATTTTGAGGTCACTGTTTGTATTATTTTATGTCCTGGAATTAGTAGTTGTCATAGTAATACTTGTAATAATAATGACAGTACAAGTATAGTGAAAGCATTTGTGAAAAAACAGACATAAAATAGTATAAAATCTTTTTTATGTAGCTCAAAATGTTAGTGCTTTGAATTCTTTTTAAAATAGTGTGTATTTATCAAACAACCACTTATCAAACATTGAGGCTGATAGATGGCTGATGGTTAATTTACACTGACAGTTTTTACTCATGCTACTCGTATGATCATTTCCTTAGATACAGACCACACCCATCCCATTAATTGTGCATATCTTCTAACCAATATTATTAAACTATTATAACACTAGCAATGATTTTCTGAGCCAATATTTAATATTCCTGTTTTGAAAAAGATTTCTAAGGATCTTCTGTGATAAGGACAAATAGATATGGACAAAAAATAAAAAAATCAGTAAGTCATAGAATCTTCATAGAGCAACTGAATCAACCAGAGAGACTGAAATTATTTTCCATCCCTGAATCCTTCATGATTGAAGAAAATTTACTTTTCATTTAACCTAATGAATATGGTACAAAGTATTACAAAAAATAAAAGTTTTGAAAGATAATATATTTTTGTGTTTTTGCATGTCAAAAATGCTTATTGTCTTATTTCCTGGTGAAGACTAAGACATTCAGTAAATGACAGCTTTGGTTTTAAGGTATTTCGATGTCTGATTCATGTTTTTATTTAAAAGAATTTTAAGATTTATTGCATTCTGTATGTGTGTGCATCTTTTTGTGAATATGTTTGCATGACTACTGGTGACCACAGAGGCATAGACTCAGACTACCCTTGATATGTAGTTACAGACTTTTGGGAGTCAACAATGTGTGTTGAAAACTGAACTTCGGTCCTTCCCAAGAGAAGTATGAGTTTTTAATTGCTGATCTATCTCACTAGACTCTATGATTTATTCTTGAAGGGAGCATACGTTGTTGACATTTACTTATAAAACAACTGGCACAAAAATTATTATCCTAGTGCAGACCTGGAGATCCACATCTGTAATGGCAGCTACTCAGAAAGTTGAGAATGGAGGACTTTGAGTTCCAGATAAGTCTGGACTGTGGGATGAGCTCTAAATTACCTTGGGAAACTTAGTGAAATCTTGTTTCATAATAATGAAGAGAGGGTTGGGAGATATAGTCTTGTGATAGTGTGCATATCTAGCATGCAGATGTCCCAGGGTTAAATATTCAGTGGGTTTGAGGTATATGTATGTGGAGATGATCATATAAGCCTAAGATAAGTTTAATAAAATATTATTTACTGCTATTTATTTTATTATTTTACCACAAGACATCAGTTTTCTGACACAGGAGTTTTGCAATTGTACACACACATGTATGCACACACTCACACACTCACCCTCAACATGAGTTTTTCAGTATTCATGACACTGCTGTGTTTATGTACAACAGCTCAAAGGGAAATGCTATCTTTCATTTTCAATAAACCTCTGCTCTGTGGTCAAATGTGACCAGAAGTCTCTTCCGACACAGTCTGTTGGCAATTGAATTTATATCTGACACTGCTGCACAGAGAGTTTTCAAGTAGAAATTCCCTTAACAAATACATAGCTCCATGAACAGGTTAGGTGGCATTTGGAAACTTTTACGACCATCTTAAAAATGTTATCACTAAGAGCAATCTACGGGAACTCTAAGGTGAACACCAAATTTAATGCTATAAGTTTTAAGAACTAAATGCTCTCTAGATATTCCCCAACATGAGGTATGACAGAACTGAGACATTTGTTTAAGGAGGAGAGGGGAAGATATAACAGTAAAAATAGTGGTATATTCAAGTGAAGGAGCCTCAGTGAAACTGTTTCTCATGCTGCCTTTGTTTATGGTGATGTTTCTAAAATCACACACACACACACACATATATATATAATTTGGAACATTTCATGTGGATTGTCCTACAATCCTATTTCAGATGTTCAGATATGCATTGATAAGAAAGTATCACAGGTGCATTAATTATTATTAATCCATTAATATACATTAATATAGATGTCTGTTTGAACTTGAAAGGCTTACGGCCCTATAAAATTTTGAGAGCAGAAGGAAAGGTTGTCCCCAGTGGAGGAGAAACTTAAGAACTATGATGATGAAGAAAAATCTGGATTCTTATTATGAGATTTTCATTTCTAAGTAGGGGCTGGTGGGACTGGGGCTGCAGATGGCAAGTTGTGTGAGGGCACAAAGCTGGAAAGAGAAGAGCAGGGGAAACTGAAGTCAGTATAAAAAAGAAATGAAAAATGCTATATAAATAAAATAAATAAGAAACAATAACCAAAACCCAAAGTTTCATCATTGATGTGGTCTTACATAGACCATCTGCTTCAAATCAGAAGCCTCTGAAATCCTAGTCCTTTCTGCTCTAAAAGCTTGTAGAAGACAGTGAGTTGGCATTGGCAGCACAGATAGTCACATCCTGTTGGGAATATAGTTCTAGAGATGAAAAGCAAAGTTTTCCCACCAGCCAAAGGGAACTGCTTCCCTCTTCTCCACTGCTTGAGCCTAGTCTACAAAGAGACTACTGGTGTTAGGGTTCACCGGGCCTGTTCCAACCTTGCATCTAAAGGCTAATCCCAATCAATTTCTCCCTTACCATACTCTCACAGCACTCAATGTCACTGGTATTATTCCAGAAAGTCCCAACTGACATCAACCTTTGTCCTCCCATCTCTAAATTAACAGTCTGATTGCTGGAAAAGCCAGCATATGACTCCTTTTAATCCTGTAAATTTATTAGAAAATTATATCTGATCCTTCACATTTATTGCTGTAATTGTTTCTATGACCCTAAAAATGACATTTAGTACAACTTCAGCTACTGTAAAAATTGTTCCCTACACCTTAAGGGCAGATATGCGATACTAGAAAGACAGAATAAATGAACTGTTCACTATGTTCTCCTACAGTCATCAGTGGATTTAGCTGAGAATTGTTTGTGGGTGGGACTAATCTGTAAAAATGTCACCTAGTATTTTTCAAACAAGTGTAATCTTTGGTGAATAAATAGACTTTGTTCACCAATGAAATTAAATACAATTCTCTCTAAATTTTTCAAGCCTCAAACACGACATTAATTAAATTATGCTTTATCTAGTAATATTGCTTACCACCATAGTATGGTGGTTTTAATAATAAACCTCCCTCGGAAGCTTAAGTATTTGAATATTTGGTTGTGTTTGGGGAGGTTATAGAAGAACAGGGGAAGTGGAGCCTTGCTGGAGAAATATGTCATAGGTGTGAAATTTCACAGCCTTGATACTCTAAGCGTCCTCTAAGCAGCCTCTCTCTAGAACTGTAAACAAAACAATCAAACAAACAAAACAAAAAACAACTCTTTCCTCTTTAGGTCACGTTGGTAATTCTGTTTTATAGTATCAAAATATAACTAACGAATATGGTAAAAAATGTGAAAGTAAAAATAAAAGTAATCTCAGAAAAATAAGATTTCTAAAGTAGAACAGCAAATGTCTTGGTATATGTCTAGAAATTGGATTGAAGCTATAGGTTTGATTTAACTAAAACTTGGCAACAGAGTTTAGACCTGAATAAATCCAAGTAAATGCAAAGAGGCCACTGGTAAATTGGCATAAAGTAC